CAACATAATGGTGTGGCTGAAAGAATCAACAGAACCATTATGGAGAAAGTGAGGTGTATGTTAAGAATGGCTAAGCTACCTAAGCCATTCTGGGGAGAAGCTGTTTTAACGACGTGCTACCTGATCAACCGATCTCCATCTGTTCTGTTGGGCTTTGATATCCCTGAGAGAGTATGGTCCGGACATGATGTTAAATACTCTCATTTAAAGGTGTTTGGATGCAAAGCTTTTTCTCACGTAAGTAAGGAACAGAGACGAAAACTTGACGATAAAGCCATTCCTTGTATATTTCTGGGCTGTGGAGATGAAGAATTTGGCTACAGGTTATAGGATCCAGAAAATCGAAAAATTATCAGAAGCAGAGATGTAGTGTTCCATGAGCAAGAAACTATGTCTGATTCTGCTTCACCAGAAACAAAAGAACTAAGTGGAAAGGTGGATCTTTCACCTGTCAAACCTCCTGGAGATGCCACAACAGGGGGAGAGTGTGATGGAGAACTTAGGGTTGATGATGAGCCAGCAATAGAAGATGGTGATGGTGAAGGTGTTGAGCAGGAAGACCTCGAAGCTCCACCTCAGCTCAGGAGATCAAACCGAGCGATCCAACCGTCTACGAGATACCCTAGTTCCACGTATATTACCATCACTGAAGAAGGGGAGCCAGAAAGATTTGGAGAAGTACAGACTCATAAGGATAAATCCCAGTGGATGAAAGCCATGCAAGAAGAAATGGATTCACTGATGAAAAATGAAACTTATGAGCTTGTGAAGCTTCTGGAAGGCAGAAAAGTCTTGAAAAATAAATGGGTGTTCAAGCTTAAGAAAGATGGTGACAAGCTGTTGAAGTACAAGGCTCGCTTAGTCGTGAAAGGATTTGGACAAAAGCGAGGAATAGATTTTGATGAGATATTCTCTCCGGTTGTGAAGATGAGTTCTATTCGAGTGGTACTCGGATTAGTGGCTAGCTTGGATCTGGAGCTTGAACAACTAGATGTGAAGACTGCATTTCTTCATGGAGACCTAGATGAAGAAATCTACATGGAGCAACCAGAAGGATTTGAGAAGACTGGAAAGGAGCACATGGTTTGCAGATTGAAGAAGAGTTTGTATGGACCGAAACAAGCTCCAAGACAGTGGTACAAGAAATTTGACTCATTCATGGCGAGTCATGGATATACCAAGACTGATGCAGATCATTGTGTGTTCGTGAAGAAATTTCCAGGTGATAAAATCATTATCCTTTTGTTATATGTAGATGATATGTTGATAGTGGGACAAGATATGAAGTTGATTGGTGATTTGAAGAAGGAATTAGCAAAGTCCTTTGAAATGAAGGATCTGGGCCCTGCGAAACAAATTTTGGGCATGCAGATCATGCGAGACCGAAAATTCAAGAGGTTATGGTTATCGCAAGAACGGTATGTGAATCGGATTCTGGAGAGATTCAACATGAAATCGGGTAAGCCGGTCAATACACCATTGGCTAATCACTTCAAGCTCAGCAAACAAAGTTGTCCTAAGAGTCAAGAAGAACAAGAAGCTATGGCGGGTGTTCCATACTTCTCAGCAGTCGGGAGTTTGATGTATGCCATGGTCTGTACAAGACCAGATATCGCTCATGCAGTTGGAATTGCTAGCAGGTATCTTTCCAATCCTGGAAAGGACCATTGGGAAGCTGTGAAGTGGATCTTGAGGTACCTAAAAGGCAATGCAAATAAGTCCTTGAGCTTCGGCGAAGGAAACCCAGTTCTTGAAGGTTATACAGATGCAGATATGGCAGGTGACCTGGATAGTAGAAAATCTACTTCAGGGTTTGTGTTTACATTTGCAGGGGGAGCTGTATCTTGGCAATCTAAATTGCAGAAATCTGTTGCCTTGTCGACTACTGAAGCAGAGTATATTGCAATGACAGAAGCAGGAAAAGAAATGCTTTGGTTGAAGAGGTTTCTTCAGCAATTGGGAATGAAGCAGGAAAGGTACGATATCCATTGTGATAGTCAGAGCGCATTGGATTTGAGTAAGAATGCGATGTACCACTCTCGCACGAAGCACATTGATGTCAGATATCATTGGCTACGTCAAGCAGTGGAAGAACAACTGTTAAAGTTGGAAAAGATTCACACTGACAAGAATCCTGCTGACATGATGACGAAAGTTGTAACAAGAGGAAAACTTCAGCTTTGTGCCGAGTTGATCGGCATGGAATACATGTGAAGATTGGCAAATTATTTCCCTTTGGCTGGAGGGGGAGAATTGATGGTTCCAGCCAAACCATGTGATGCAAATGGACAAAAATGGTTGTAAGATTCCAACCACTCCATATGATTAGACATTTTTTTAACAATTGTAGGTTGTAATTTTGACGTAAAGCAGCATCTTCTCTGCTATAAATAGCACTCAGTTGAGGGCTGGAAAATGCACCAAGAAGCGAGGAAGAAAAAAATCAGAAAGGAAATTTTCTGGAGTGTTATTTTTCAGTGAGATAAAAATAGAGTGTTGGAGTAAATCCTGTGAGTGTGGGAAAAATATACCGGGTTGGGTATCAACTCTATTACTCTTTGTTTAAGAGTGGGGTTCTCACTGGGTCACTATATTTTACATTTCTAGTGTAAGGGAGTGTGAAAAGATATTGTAATTATCTTGAAAATATAGTGGAATTTTTCGGAGGTTGTCCCGTGGTTTTTTCCTCTATTTAGAGGTTTTTCCACGTTAAATCTTGGTGTCTTATTTCTTGCATATTTTATTTATTTGGGATATTCTTAGTATGCTCTGTGGTTGCAGTTTAATCTGATCTTCCACATCAGAAAAGAATTATTCCGGTTTTATTGCAAGAGATTTCTTTTGTCATTCTTGAGTTGCTGGGATTGGGATTATTGTTCACCATTTTTTTTACCTTGATATTTTAATTTACATCTTCCGCATTTGCGCATCTGAGCCCAACACTTATCGACCTTGGTTTCATTTTTTAGTGTTACATTGCTAAGGGCCAGAGAGGCACCTTGTACCTGCAATCTCGCAACGGGGCTCATTTTATAAATGATATGCCCTCTAACATTCCCTAGTGGAAAACCCCCATATTTTTGTTCGGCCTTCCTCTCCTTTACCCATTGACTCAACCTGGCTTGAGTCCTACACCTATTGACTACCTATACCCACCTTTTGTGCTAGTTTCGACCTCAGAAACGATGAATGGAATAAATCCACCGTACCTTTCAAAATTCTCCTTGATAACGAGCCACTATATCACTGCGGCTTATCTCCTTGACATTGCGCCTGTCTGACCCTTGACCAAATCGGTACCTGTCGATGGCTATTTTGGTTTATGGCAGAAACACTTTTCAAGCTAAAGGGTCTTTACTCTTCCTCCGGCTCAAGGGGTAAAAAACCTTATTCTCCTCCTAAGGAGCGCCGCGAGCAACGACCTAAAGTCTTCGACCGAAGGAGCCAGCGACGGGGTCGACAAGAAACAACCACGCACCAAGGAGGGATATCCTCCCAGAAAACAGGTTCATACGCATCTTGTCGAGGTGGACACTCTCGAGGACATCCCCTCCTCGACCACACTCCAAGCGGAGATCTCTATCAACCTTTCGCATCCTCCGGTCGAGAAAATTCACATGCCCTCCTCGACCGTTCCGGTCGAGATTATTCCTTCCTTCTCCTCCAACTCCCAAGGGGCCACGATCATTTCTCACCAGATGAAGTGTATCCTGAGACACACCGGTGGGGCTCTAACCTAACAGGCCGAGCAGACTCTGCGGTCAAGGGTTTGGGAAGAGTTCAGTTGGAGGAGAATATTCTACGTTTTCTAGTACCATTGGAGACGGTCATTTGGGGAAGACAAGTCTCAAAGATTACAAATATGGATCGATATGGCGGGTTAAACAATCTTAAAAAAATTGGTAATAATTTGAAAATAACATATATTGAAACTATGAAATCAAAGGGAATTGGGTTTGTAGGAATAAGAGTAATCAAAGAATTATTCAACTCTTACATACTCGAGTAAAAAAAAAAAAAAAAAAAATCTATTTCCAGTATTATAAATCTAAAAACCTATTCCACTGCCTATTTTTATTTGTTTCCCCAATTTTGGCACTTTCTTCCATTTGGCTTTGACTTAGTATTTCTTTCCCCCTTCAAAATCGTCTTTTACCACCCTTTGCTAACTCCTTGGAGCTTGATCTGCCTGTCTGTGATCAAAATGATCCATTCAAATAACTCATTTGACCTTTGATGTGCCTGATTGTCATGAGCAATCCCCCATTTTGATCCATTCACCAAATTGACCTTCTTTGATAGCGGCCTTACCGATGTCCTCTATCGTCGCACTACACGTTCTGTCCAGATGCCTAATACTTCCACAATAACGACAAATATTTACAAGCTTCTCATATTTTAAATAAAGTCCACGCATCTTATTCTTCAATTTAATGCTCATACATTCACGAAGAGGTTCGTTAAGATCAAATGTAACCAGATTTCTTATACTTAACTCTGGGGAAAGCTTCCCAATTTTTCGTCCCATATCACTAAAAAGCCAGTTTAGCGGAATGTTTCCTACTTGAACCCATATATCCATCTCTGTAAAGCTTTCACGGTTAGCAGTAAGATCTGCTTTCCACTCTCTAAGGATGAGATAATATTTCTCAAATGTCCAGTTTTTACCTGTAGCCACCCTTTCCATATCCCCAATGTTATAAAAAAACAAACTGAAAGAAATTAGATTTCAATTCTCGAACCACCATTGGACTCTTCAGCTTCCAGACCTGAGACATCGTTTTCCTGGTGCTGTAAAAATTTGTTCTCTGATATAGAAATAACATTTTCTGCCTTCTGCGAGATAACGTGAAGCCTTTGATTTTTTGCGCGAAGTCATGTTGCATTCTGAAATCTAGTGGCTTTGGTGGAATATAAAGAAATATGAAGAACCTGAAACACAAAAAACCACAACAAAATGAAGCGGTTTTGGACAAAGCTGCTGGCTTAATCAATGTATTTTTTTTATTGTTATTTATTTATCAGTGTATTATCCGAGTGATAGTAAGTACATTCTTGCTCCAAAATGGAATCAAATTCTCTCTTCAAGTTCTTACAGACTTACAGTTACTAATTTTCCTCCCAGGAACGCGTAATGGCTTTCTCGTCTTCAGAAGTATGTAATAATAGATACCGTCAATTCTTGTCAGCATAATCTATTATCCATGTTCTCTACAATGGTACCTCCAAGTTACATATATAATGCTTCTCTACAATGTGTGTGTGTGTGTGTGTGTGTGTGTGTGTGTGTGTGTTATGTGTATTTCATCACATCTTTGTATGCTTAATTGATCAGATAAAATACTCAAAAAGGACAATGTAGATTACCAGCTTGCATTTTAGAACAGTGATTGCCTGCTTTCTTTGTCTTGCGAAGAACTTTAAAGACTGCAGGCGAAATAAGATCCAAGAGATTCAGATACGTCAGTCAAAACAAACAAGAAACAACTTTAAATAGAGACGAACCAAAAATATACTTACACCAAGTCTTTGAAGTTCTAGTGACCTAGATAATGCCTCTCTTTTATTCAGCAAATTTATCGCTGCTAATTTTGGACGCTTATAGTTTTTCCCACGGTATACAATGATGGCATGTCCTTCCTTAAGTTTGACTATAGAGACCACGATCCCACCACTTTCTGTCTCGACGCATTTTGCTGTGCGCATGACCTGTGAAAACGTTTTCTGCATCGTAATCACTTTAACAATTTCTCTGTGCTTCCAATGTTGATGCATTCCTTCTATAACACCATCATAAACACCACGCCTTCCTGAAGCCATAATATTTTGCAGGACTGGCAATATATGAGTTTAACCGGATATGGAATAATTAAAAAATCATCAAGGAAAATTGTTTTTCTTTAGGAAGCTCAAAGCTTGACACTGGATGGACTCTTCAATTTGGACAACCAAAAGATTCATTCAAAAGAAAAGAGGAAAAAACGTAAAAGTATCTTTCTCACCAAGCACTAAGCTGCGGTCAATCTTCACACCCATCTCCCGTAGGCATCGTCTCTCCTCTTCAGAGATTACTTCCACATCTGGGTCTTTCTCAGAAAATCTTGATACAGTATTTAGTTTCTCCAGTATTTTAACTGATTTCTCTATTTTCTTCTTAAGCTGTGAAAGAAACATTAAAATGTGAATTCCATTATATATCAAATAATAATAATATTAACAATAATAAATCTAAACTTACAATATAAAGCCTCCGCTCTTGATCTTTGAGTTCCTTTTTCAGCTTCTCTTCTTCTGTTTTCAGCTGGATTTCAACCTCAGTCTCACTTTTCTTCAGGCTCCTAATATCCGAGTCAATAATATGGAATTCTGATAAAGTACCCGCAGAACCAGAGGTAAGTGTCTGTTCATCGGTTATTGAAAAGGCCTCACTTGCTTTTATTCTAGCAGCTTCTTCTTGAAGTTGGCATTTAGTGAGTGCCAGTTCTCGTTCATTCACTATTTTTGCAACTTCAGAGGGCATAAAATCTTTACCTCTATAGAGGACTATAAAGAACTTATTACGCAGTAAAAGAACTCCTCCAGTGAGAATCTGCAATAGTAACAGTATGAATAAAAGATTGCATTTCAGGTAAGGCGCATCGATAGGAAAAGTAGGGAACGAAGTAACTCGACCATAGTACTAGGATCGATGTAATTGAGAACAAAATAAGGAAATAGTAACGAGAGCCCACGGAAAGGATGGCAAGTCCCAATACACGTGAAAGACAGTAACTATATCTCTCCATTAAAGAAAGCAATTCAATCAAATGTCTATGACCAAAGCAAAGCAAAGTGAAGTCAAAATTTGGAAGGAAAATTAGCCTGACTTTTAACCGGAAGTCAGAACTCAAGCTCCTAGCTTCAAAGCTCATCAACAGCTATAGAACTCTTAGCTACTGAGATTCTCCCGGCACTAGTGAAAGGTGCGCGAAGAAACTCGCACAGGAGCCCTTTGTTGAATCTTTTCTTGCCTGATAGGATATCTCCTCTTATGGTACCTTTTAAACAGACGACAAAGCGAAGGAAATCGGCTTCTGATCCTTTCCTCCTATAACCTGGGCGCTCTATTATGTTATTCATTCGCGACTCTCTGATTCGGCTCCTGGCCAAAACCTGAACTACAAGCTTCTTTCCATCTCCTTGGAAAAACCATATAGTGAGGTTTGATTGCCTTAAGATTGTCAAGTCGGTGCTTAAGTACCATGTAGACTTATTACTTATTAGGATGCCAAACCATATATTTAAATTACCGATCAAATATTATATATACATCTATAAAGCATTTATCTATACATCTTAAAGATACTTTCTCATGTCATTCTTGTGTTCTCTCAGGGGACTTTCTACAATCGATTATCCATACTTCAAAAAGAGTTCAACAAAAATACATCATAAGCAAATCAAAGAACAAACACATTATTAAGAGACAACATTACACACTTGGCTAATCATACTAACCTTAGAGAAAAACGTCATCTTAGTACATTCAACTAATGAGAGCAATAATATGAGAATACAAGTAAGAAATCACAAATATAGAAAACACATATTTCAAATCCACCTGCCTTGAGTTCATTAGCCATTTGCTCATTATCTGTGTTTTGAACCCCCCACTTCACTGCAATCTTTGCTATGTGGCATTTTTCCCACAATTTTAGAATTGCTGCAGCCAATCCTTGCAGTTTTCTGTTTCTTCCTTCAGGGAAAACCCAAACAAAATTCTGTCAGAATTATAAGCACACCTACTTAACACATAAATTAATGGATACAAGCTTCTTTACAGCAACCAGCTTAGTCAAACAACGAGGGTGCTTTAAAAGATTTTTTAATATCCCAAATATAATTAGATTATTCCAGAGCTTACAAGAAAATTAAATTTTTAACTTTGACATAATTTGTTAAGGTGTTTAGATATATATATATATATATATATTAAAAAAAAAAATGGTGGTTTATATAATTACAGTAGTCAAAAAGTCAAAAACTACAGAAAAAATGCCAAAATAAAATCAATTTTAGAAACAGATGATAAGCTGGTAGCATTTTAGTTTATGAGCTTATAAACCTTCTGTAGTGACAATAAAGAAAATGTTCTAAAACTTGAAAAGATCAAATACGAAACACCTGCATAAGATGTCAGGATATTTCAGAAAGCTTATAAACGCACCTAAAGATCCTCTTAAAATGGAATATCAAGAAAGCCCGATTATGACTAAATCCAAACTGATTTTACAGGAAAATAAGTACCAAGGACGAAATGAGTCGGTAGAGGACGAGCAAGCTTCCTCAAATATGTGAGTTCTGCATCTGTGAGCTTTGATCTAGTAAAAGGTGGAGAAAGCCTAAATGGTGTCTTCAATCCGGTAACAAGTTCCGGAAGCAAGTCTGCATCAACAGGCAAAGGCTTCTGCGTCCACCAATCAACAAAACGTGGGCCCAAACCATCCAACAACCTATTAGCTTCTCTTTCATATAAAGATGTCATGTGCAAATTTCCCTTTCCGTAATTCTTATTGGATGACGAATTTTCTCTTCTGGTCCAAATATGTTTTGAACATGATTTATAATTGCACCCTCTATAAACAGCAAGAAAGTCTTTTTTCCTCCAGACAACTATACCTCCACTCTTCATCTGTTTTTGCAATATAATAGTGAATTATTATGCCATAAATCAGAATAATAATTTAAAGACAACACAGGCAGGAATGGAACCACTAGAGGTGATAAAAACTTGTGGGAAAATATAGAATAAGTATTTTATTTTTTTATTTTTATTTTTTCCAGCTATCAAGTGAATAAACCATTTCTACTTAGAACCTAAACGATATAAGAGACCTTCGTGCTTAAATGCAACTCAACAAAAGGTGAACATATAGATGGTGTCAGATGACATAGAAAACGAGAACTTGTATCAACTTTATAATCCTTTGTCAGGATTGTGCTTAACTTTTCTTTATTTAACAAATTGTTCTTAAAATTGAGGACTAAAGAAATTAAAAAACCCCCTAAGAAAAATAGAATCACTTTCAGCTCCAACCAAAGAATTCAAAGATATCACTCCATAATCTTAAACGCAACACTAAAAGGTCCCTAACCTCAACAATTTCTCGCGCTCTACCCATATTCCAGCACAAGGGAACGTCAAATTTGATCAAGGCAAGCTCATCATTTCGCCAAATGGAATGAACTTCATCGACAACAGCTTGAGTCACCCCAGCCTTCTTAACTTTTACCCATTTCTTCATCTTAGCAGCTTCATCCCTCAACCTTTCAAGCAAATTTCTATCAAGATTCAGCTCAGCAAATGTAGCAACCTTCTCCTTCATCACCCTCCTAGTAACCGTCTTTTCGTCCCCCTCCCATGGCATTTTTCTCAATTTCAATTCTTTCACAACCTCCCCCAAAGGAATATCAAACTTACCACTTCCAAAACACTCTTTACCACCCTCACAATTCCCCTGAACTTCAGCATCACTTTCGTAATCCCCATTTCCCCATAGCGCACCTGGTGCAAATTTGAACCTACAACTTCCTAAGGCTTGTTTGTTTTCCTCGGAATTCTCAGTTTCTCCGAGTTTCCCGATGCCCTTAAAGATTTTCTTCATGGCTACCCTGCCTCTGCCGCCTCCCACTTTCCGAGTCAAAGCGGCATCACGATGTTCTCCATTTCCATTAGAGGCCGAATAATCGCTTCGATTGTTTCTCTTGGTGATATCCATCATTTCATGCGGCTTGACAAGAAGGGGTTTATTCATCCATGGAGCAGTCGGAGCTTTGATTGTCTGTTGCGGATTGGATTCTGAAGATTTTGCTTGAGAAACTTGTTGGCTTTCGTGCTCGGCGGTGCTACTCGCTTCGGCATTCGCACGGATTAAGCTTCTGTTCGCAGGCGCGTTGGAAAAAGTTGTGAAGGTATATTTAGGAGTAAAATGGAGAAAAGGCGGTGGAGGTTTTGAGGGGTTGCGAGGGAAAGGGATAATGGCATTTGAGAAGTGGGCACGGCACTGAGAAGCAGACATGGGATCTTGATTTCCTCCTCCAAAGCTTCACTGTGGTTTGTGCCGGAGATTGCAGTTGTGAAGGCGGTGGCGCCACCACACTCACACGGCGGGTGTGGGGAAGGAGTGTGAGTTTGGAGTTTTGAGCGTCGTTTTTGAGGTGGAGAGTCGACTTTGATCTGATTTGAAATCTTTTCCTTGCAGATATTTTTTATTTATTAACCCATTTATCCAATCCTTCAATTATCTTTTTTATATTTGCAACCAAAAAAAATAATATATATATATTTTTTTACAAAATAATTCAGAAAATTTTTAGGTGACCTCATATTTTTTAAGAATAATATAGAATACTTTAGATAATCTTACATATGTTATATAATATTTTAGGTGTTTCTAATATTTTAAACAAGATAAAAAGATATAAAAAAATTCGTGAATATTTATCTAATTAAGAATAACCGATATTAAAATGATAAACTAACAACTCATTTGTCGAACTGCATGCAAATTCATATCATAAATAGATCCATATTAGGGGTTCCATTTTAAGTTTCAGCGGCACCAATTCCGCAAATACTTGGGTGTGCCCTGGCACACCTTGCTAGGTGTGTCAGGGCCTTTTGTGAAATACACTTCCCCCAAAAGCGCGTGAGGTAAGAAGGTAAGACATTTTTTTAAATGAGACATGTGTCTCATTTCTATTGGGCAATGAAATTCATATATCATATTTTATAAATTAAATTATCATTCATATTTTGTATCAAAAAATAAAAATAAAAATACCAAAATTCATAATTTTTCATTCTCTACAAATAGAGACCACATTTGATATTTTTTGGAATACAATTAATTTATCATTTTGTACAATTAATTTATCTTATTGGAAGATTATGACATAAATCTATAATTAGATGAATATGTTACATACTAAGATGAACATGTTATAGAGTAAGATGAACATGTCATAGAATAAAATGAAAATGTTAAATTTTCACAGATGAAATTTCGATGAACATGTTCTAAAATAAGATGAACGTGTTACATAATAAAATGAACATGTTATATAATAAGATGAACATGTTACATAATAAAATGAACATGTTATAGAATAAGATGAACATGTTACATACACAATAAGGTGAACATGTTACGTAATAAAATGAACATGTTATAGAATAAGATGAACATGTTACATAATAAAATGAACATGTTACATAATAAAATGAACATGTTATAAAATAAGATGACATGTTACATACACAATACGGTGAACATGTTATAAAATAAGATGAATATGTATTATTTCAATCTGTAACATGTTCATCATATTTGAAAACATATTCGTTTTATTATGTAACATGTTCATTATATGTCAGTATAATAAAATAATTTCGAAAAAACTAAAAATTAGTTTTGTTCAAAAACATATCAAATGTGGTCTCTATTTATAGATAATGAAAAATTATGAATTTTGGTATTTTTATTTTATTTTTTTTAATATAAATAATTAATTATATTTTAATTTATGTAATATGTCTCATTTTTTAATTAAAAATGAAAAATAGGAATGTGCACTACACTCTCCAAATTTTCTTGTTTTTGGGGTGAGGGAGGCGCGTGCAAAACTGCCTTGGCACACCTAGCTAGGTGTACCAGGACACACGGTAGTGCTACTGCACCAATTCCTTCTGATCACAAGGTTCCATTAAGAGTCAGAGTCAGCCTTTATCTTGTGTTGACATGTTCTTAAGAAATCGGTTTTTAGTCACAACCAATTATACATTGTTTCTTATCTAAGTAATAGATAAAAAAAGAGTCATGACCGTTGTTTCGCGTGTAAGTAATAGAGAAAGAAGGGTCAGTGTCATCTTTACCGTGCATTGGCATGTTCTTGAATAAATCATTTTTAGTCACGACTAATTATATTTTTTTTCGTTTAAGTAATAGAAAAAAAGTTAAAAATATTAGTATGTGGGGACGACGAATTGCCCAAATATCAAGCATGAAGTTTTTAATAATATATTATTTTTCCATGTGCAACATTTTATTATTTGATAATTTCCTATGAATTATCACTAATATTCTCCAAAATAAATTCAGTCCGTGCATCGCACATGTTACATACTAGTTTCAGTATCATGCGTATATGAAATAAAAAAGATAAAGTAACGGGTTATCTTTCAAATTACCATGTGAATTTAGAGAGCATTGAAAAAAATAAGAATATTCACATAAGTTAGTTAATAACTTAATATATTTTGAATGAAAATTATTAAAATTTATAATAATATTCACAACATCATTTTCTAATTAATAGATGCCGTTTTACATAATTGGTTTTATTTATAAATGTAATGTCACCTTATTGTGTGTGTGTGTTATATTAATACTATGCATGAAATCTTATTTTAATGTGTCCACAAATTATATGTAAGCGATTTCGTATGTACTTTTTCTCATGATCTTTTAATCATATATATCCATCAAAATCTTGTGGTTTTTGTACATCATACCCACCGTTGTTAGTCTACCACCACATTATTTGACAAACATATTAACCCGTAACCGAGAAGTTACATAATGCGACCTTTATTTTCTTACCGGCACTAATGTTTGGATCCAATCATCTGAAGAAACACTAGTCCACTTGTCAACAAAATGTACACATTCAGAGTCAAAAACAAGGGAAAAAAAAAAGACCAAATAACATCTAAAAGAGAAAAGGCGAAAGAAAGGGAACGAAAGCGGGCAGAAAAATTATAAAACGTTCGTGACAAAACGTAGGCACTACATCTTCTTGGAGTGATCCTCCACAGGGTCGCGAAGGGTCCCAAACATCCAATCCATCCATATGGTGTAGTGCCCATAGTTATGGCGATAGGTCGTGTGATGAATGGTGTGGTAGCCTGCACCCATCACAGGCCATAACTTCCCATGTATGCAGTCGTGTATGTTTGCTGTCCATATTGCCTCAATGAACAGAAGGGCAATGTGCGTAGTGAAATGCACTGGCACTAGAAACAGAGCTATTACGTGGGGTACTGCTTGAAGTATACCATCCAAAGGGTGGAAAGCGAGGCCTATATTTGAAAGGAAAATGGAGTTATAATAGTCATACTTGACGACAAAGTCGACATAAAAGCACAAAGTGCAGATAGATTTATGAAAGGGGAACCTCCCAAGATCAAGTAAGATCCGCTTAGTAGATGTTGAAGTTCCATGAAAGAGATAAGAATGTATTTTACAGGTAATGTTGTAAAGATTGTCTTTCCTGATAAAGAGGAAAGAAGTGGCGTGCTAATTACTATCAAGAGGTGTTATTGTTACAGAATATACGAATGTGACTTCCTCAGGAAGAGTACTCAAAAGTTTCCATAAGTGAGAAATTTATTCACGTAAATTTTGATAAGGAGAAAGGACTAAAATGCACCAAGATGTATTTAGTCGACTTTTAGAAGATTAGTTCACATTACCACTTTAAATCAGAATTATTACATCGATCACATAAAAATATATATTATGTGTGTGCGCATGTGTGATAGAGGGAGAGACATTGATGCAATAAATGAGCTATATTCCAACAATATATTTTCAATAGCAATTCCACATGTTCTAAAACCAAACACAAAATTGAGACAAAAAAATCCAGGCAAGTTTCCCCTTCAAGACCATGGTAAGTGAAACTTTCAGTCTCGATTAGCAGAAATATATAAGTAGAGACAAAAAAGAAACAAGAACTTACCAGCAAAAGGAGAAAGTGTGTTCTGCTTGTTATAGATGTGATGTGTTGCGTGTAGATACTTATAGAGAGGTTTTATGTCGTGCAACTCCCTGTGCATCCAGTATATCCCGAATTCCACAAAAACGAGATAGACAGTCAAATAGCTTATGTATGCAAGCCATCCAACATCACTTATCCTCGAAAAGCATTTGGTCCACCCATGTTCAACCATGTACTCGGAGATTGTTGGAAGAGCACAGTACCATGGCATAGCTTTCATGGCAACTCCTATCTGCAAAAGCATGGCTTTTCTAGAAGGAATGGCATCTGTAATTCAAACATTTTTTATTTTTTTTCAGTACAACACATGGATAAATAAACCAAGTTATCATAGATTTACATAGTTCAAGTCGACTTAGCAGTGAGATGCTATTTTCATCGTGGAAGGTAAAGAAAGACATCAATGTGCCAGAATATATGATCGTGTCCATGTTGTGAAAACGCACAATAAGTAAAGACAAAATTTTCTTGTAAATTAATTTCGACTCTCCTCATCACATTGATTTTGCAGAATTTCATCAACTTCAAAGTCTTAAGGTTTCATACAAACAGGCAGTGAGGGGATTACCTCATGTTTGAAGTTGATTATGAACTAAAAAATTGTGGAAATGCAGACTAAGGTTTCATGTTGTTTAGCCCATATGTCAAAATCAACAAGTAGAAGCATACATATATTTTGGTTAGGCAAGTACAATTTTCAGTTCCAACAAACAAATAAGAGAGGTACTTAAAAAACTCGTAATTAAAAACAGTCTAAGATGCAATGTATTAATTCTGTAAAGACAAACTAAATGGTTTATTGAGACCACAGCACAACCACCTCATGCTGAGCCCATCTGAATCCTTTTCAAAGGACAATGCTTGGACTATAAACCATCACCGTCACCATGATTTGAATCACTAAATTCAGACCTTCATTTCCTACATCTGAAAAGGGTTTATCTAAGAGTTCAACTTCCAGTCTAAAATTTCAAAGAGCAATAGATATCGAGAATCGAGAAAAATGGCTGCTCTTAGTTCCTGGAACAACTCAATCCCTGTGAAAGGATTTCAGAAAGGCCACACATATCAACAAAATCACCAACTACCTTACAATACTTGCAACAGTAAATACAGAGTGATATGTTCTATGATAAAATCTGAAATTCCTAATGGAATCAATAAATCTCTGGATGTAAAAGAGAGCAACAATGTTAAGTTAGAAACATGCTAGATCAAACATTGAACACTTCATTACACTTCCAACACAAATAAGCAACTTTATTCAATTCAGTAGCTATGAACAAGACCCAGACAAGAACTCCATCTGAACCCATTCACTGGTCAACAATCAAATGTAATTGCAGTAAAAGATAGATAAAAAATCATCTGTCAAACCAAACACCCATACAAAATCAAAAACAAACAAAAAAAACACTATTGAGCAAAAGAAACAAACCTTTAGGGACATAGACGTTGCGCTTTAAGTAGTAGATATAGAAACACCACAAGATCCCCGACAGCAGATAAAGCAAGGTGCCGCCGATGTAGTTCCGGAGCCACCCCCGGCACAAGTGAGGGAGTGGGGCCCACCACTTCTCCGGCAACGTGGATCCCAGGACAATGTCGTTGTACCAAGAAGTTTCCTCAACGAATAGCTTCAAGTAGTCCTCCATCGCGACGCGCCGTCGGATGTCCGAGTCCCGTCGGTCGGCGAACGGCGGAGGTTATCGGTGCTGTTCTCCGAGAGAGAAAATAGTAGGAAATTTGGGTAAGGAGTGGAATCTTAACGGGCAAGCGCAGCTGTCTCCAGTAATTTACTTTTCAGATGCTACGAGGGGGAGTTCCTCATTTAAATAATAGTAGTAATGGTTCATAGTACTTAGTTAGGGTATACAAACTAAGGGTGAGCGTGGTCGGTACGATTCAGAGATTGATAAATTTTAGAATCGTACTAAATTTCGGAGATCCCAAAATTCGATCTCTGGAACCGTACCAAAAAGTCGGTTCGGTTCGGTTCGGAGATTTTTACTTTTCGGTTCGGTATTCGGGACTATCGGAACGGTTCGGTTCGGTATGGTTTGGTTCGGATCTTCGAAGATTTTTTATTTTTTTAAATTATTTTTGAATGACTACGTAGTTATATTTTAATTTTTATATGTTTTAAAAAACAACATTTATCAATAATTCATCATATTATTTTATTTTGAAATCAATTCTAGAAGTAACTCTAAATTTTAGTTATTTAAGTTTTATATGCTTTAATAAAACCAATATTCATCAGTACTTCCTCACATTAAAGATTTTATTTTGTAATCAACTTTATAAATAACTCTAAATTTTAGTTATAACTAAATTTGTGCAACTAATATTGAAAATTTAAAATTCAAATAAAATATAATATTATTTTTCTTAAAAAAATATTCTTTAAACTTTCATATTATTTTGAATAATTATTTTATAATAGAAAAAAATCAATTGTAGATCAAGTATTACTAAGCATGAAATTTAAACGAATGTTAATATTTATTACTATATTATATAGAATCAAAGTTGACATAAAATATATTAATAACACATCTAATGTTATAATTCGGTTCTTAATTTCGGTTCTTTGGTTCGGTACAGTACTGGACGGTTCGGTTCAGTTCTCGGTACGGATATTTGTAAAATCTCCAGAACAGTACCAATTATTCGGTTCGAAGAAAGTCAAATGGTCAACGGTTATTTTTCGGTTCGGAGCGATTTCAGATCGGTTTTCGGAACGGTTAGAATTCTCTGAGTCCCATACTCAGCCATAATACAAACATGTAAATGGTATTGTATTTAGAGTTTTAAAATTAATATACTTGCTTGGTAACTTATATTCTGAATGTAGTTTTTTTTTTTTTTTTATAAAATATAGATTTAATCAATTTGTGACGATATTTGACATGACATTCAAATTATATAAATACATATAATATGATAATTGTATTATATTTCATTATATATAATTTTTGAATATTCTGAGTTATCGCACTTTTCGAGATTATATGTCACAAATTTTTAAACTTTGTTGTCTGGATTGGATGGGTCTCTACATTGATTTAGATAGAACTGGTTGAGAAGGAATCCAATCCGCCTGAATCATCGCGCGAGACCTGCAAGAACTCAACGTCGGAATGTGTTCTCAGCGAAGAGCCTCCGATGCTTAAGTTAACACAATAAAAAAAAGGTAAAGCTATGTAATTTAGAGCTATAATGTATGTAAAGTGTGTAATGTATCGGAAGGAGATTTAGGCTTATACCTCAATCCCCTTTTATAGGAAAAATACATGCCTGAATTCTCCTGTCCTAGTTGCCCGAACTGCCCTCGGTCAGCTTGCCCTAGTTTCCCGAACTTCCCGCGGTCATCCTGCCCGTGCTGCCCAGGATTTGATCATATCCTTATCCGAATCATATATGAGTCATTCTCAGGTTCCTTCTTATTCATTCTTTAGACACTCGAGTTATGTCTTTATGTAGTTGCAGTAACCTAAAACTCCCTATAGGTCGCTTTTTATGCGGATCAGAATACCAAGACCTCCTTATATTTAGTCACCAAGACTTCCTTATACTTAATCACTAGTACCTCCTTATACTTAATCACCTAGACCTCCTTATACTTAGACTCCGATCCACTAGTAAGGTTCACTAGTAGAAAAAACATCTTTTATAACAGGGTTTTTATAACAGGTTTGTTAAACCCGTTATAGAAACAAATTTATATCGGGTGTCTATGACACCCGTTATAATGTTTTCAGATTCTCAATTATCTATAACGGTTATTTAAACAATTGTTATAAAATTTTCCAGATTTTCAATTATCTATAACGGTTATTTCAATAGTTGTTATAAAATGTTTCATATTCTCAATTATCTATAACAGTTATTTAAATAATTGTTATGAAAATTTTCAGATTAATTAAATCCGCGCGTCTCTGTGTCTCTCTGTCTCTCGAAAATACCTCTCCCTGTATCTCGCCAAAATCACAGACCCTCGACCAAAATCACTCAATCTCTCGAAATCGCCCAAAATCGCACAGTCTCAAGCCCTATTCGAACTCGCCCGTCGCCGTTCGTACCAAGACCCCGTCGTCGTTCTCGCTGCACTGAGCCCTCGCTGCACGAACCCTCGCCATCCGGTGTTGGTCGTTCCAAGCCCTATTCACAGTCGTCCGTCGCCGTTCGTACCAAGCCCCCGTCGCCGTTCGTACCAAGCCCCCGTCGCCGTTCGTACCACACCGGTGCTTGCCGTTCGTACCAGGCCCTGTTCGCACGTCCTCATCCCCCGCAGCGCTCTCCGTCCACTGCGTTTGAGCGCTCACCGTACAAGTATGTAACTATTTTTACAAGATTGATAACTTAAAATTAGTTATGTACATTTACATGACATGTGGGGTGAGAGTTGAAATGTTGGCAGTGTGAGTTGTGAAGGATTCGTGACATGTGTGGGTCCATTAGACACCTTAAAAAAAAATGCTTGATGTTTCATCCTTTATAAATCTTAGTTCTTCCAGGAAAAAGAGGACGACATATAGAAATTGGAAAGTGGGATTTATTATTATATGAAGATATTACATAGTTACTTGGAAGAAACAAGAGTAAAAATTGACTAGAAGGAAGACATCTAGCTGGAGGAGTCACAAAGACATAGCAACAAACACACGCTAGGCACTGTTAGAACTGATTAGATCATATCAACTGTATTTCTGAACTTCCAGAGTAATTAAGATATACAATCGCACTTTGAGCAGAGAATACAATTATATCAAAAGCTCTTGAACAAGCCAACATTGATTCTGTTAAATTTTCAGATTTTCTGTGGTTCAAACCTTTGTAGATAGTTTGCTGTTGCTGCTAGCTAGTATATAACAGTTAGTGCTCATACTTGTAGTGGTCAAATTTGCAGATTTTCTGTGGTTCAAACCTTCTGTCAAACCTTTTAGTGCTCATACTGCTAGTCTTCTTTTCCTTTGTACAACACACTACTCATTAGTTTGCAAGTTCAAATATTGAAATCCTAAATCGCCAATCGAAAAAAGGAGAAAATCATAAAAAAAAATATGGTGTGTTGATTCCCAAAGTAATTTCTGTGTTCCAGCATTTTACATTTTTTTTTTTTTTTTTTT